TGCAAAGTAACAGCTCCTTAAGAGTCCTGTTGATGATGTAGTTGGATGCCTGTAAGCTTGATACTCATCAGAATGGTATTTCTTATGCAAATGTTCAAACTGATTATTCTAAAAGGTAGCATTCATAAAGTGTTGTGAGATCCTTGAGGAACTCAAAATTTAATTCTGTTGTTAATGGTAGGGTGCTGGTACTGTAGTTTCAAGTTGGAGAATAGGTAGACTTTCAGCCGTGTTTTTTATTTAAAAGACTGACTTGAGGTTACTTTTCCCCATCAGAGTAACTGTGAACAAAGCACGTAACCTTTGCCTTGCTTTTTTACTTTAAACCCTCCCCAAAGAGTTGTGAAATGAAGCTTAGTACCATAGAAACTTTCACATGGAGTCTACAGCATAAAATCACACTGATGTTGACACTTCATTTAGCCACTCCTTTTAGCTGGGATTTCTTCCTTTTCCACCCCTGTTTACCTGGGCAGTTTACAAGGAAATTAGAGATTCTTCCTTTTAGGCTTGCACTAATCTGTATTCTGATACTTGAGTGCATGCTTTGATTTGTCAGTCTCATTTGAGTTTCTTACAAGTAGATATATTTGGTTATGTAGATCAGCAGTACTCTAAGCCTTGACCTGCTCATGCTTGTTTGCTTACTCATTGCCTATCAGTAAAACCTCCTTATGTGCAAATAGACTGAAAATCAGTTGCCTTATGTACTTCAAAAACCTGTTCTTTGTTCTTAGAACTGCTCATGGTTGGTGGCACCCAGTTGTGTTAAACACAGGATTTCAGTGCTAAGAATAGTATCCTATTTGAATATTAGGTGCCTTCAGTGGAAGAGGAGAGTTTCTTGACTAGCTGTTAGTAATGTGCTCCCTTCCAACTTCCATGCCAGTTTTTCTTGGATAAGGTTGAAGCTGAAGAGTTCTTTATCCAGCAGCTGACGTCTGCTTAGGAAGTGTGGCAGTAATTAATAGGGGATAGGTTGAAATAAAGCGGTTGATGTTGACTTGTTGGAATTAAGATTGCAGGTGGAGAGGAGGTGCTTATTCTTGGGAACCCTCCAAGCAGGAGAGGAGATGAGTTGCTATCTCTATTCTAAGCTCTGCTAAAATGAAATTATTCAGAGATCATTAGAAGTGCCTTGTAACTGCTTCTATGATTATTTTTAATTTTTTAATTTTTTTTTTTTACTGTTGTCCATGAGAAATGGCAATCGAAACCTTTTCTTCTGAGACTGGGAAAACTTGGGTCTTGATCATATTAGTGTTAGTATAAGTCTCATGTATTCTTTGAGGCTTGTAAGCATGATATTGTTCTGGTTCACTATGGAAGAAACTATTCTGTCATTGTGGTATCACAAGTAGAAGAATTAACTTTTGTCCAAAGTAACATGCCATGAAAGGGGAGGTGAGCTATGTGTCTAAAAATGTCATGCATGTGTATGTTTTGCAGTTTATTATGGATTTGTCTCTGTTACTGCAGCGTGGTACAGCTGGGTAACACTGGTCATCTGACTTGTATCCCAGTGAGTCCTATAAAAGAGAACACATGACTCAAAGAAATTAATAAAAACTTTGCATTTGTCACAGTCCTTCAGGATTGAATAAGCAAAACATAAAACTTCCAAAACAAACATAAGCTTTTAAGATTGAGAATCCTCTTTACGTTATCTTAGATCTTAAAGGCACATATTGACCATCTGGTTAAAATCAGTCTGGTGTGCAGTTTGGATCACTCTTACACAGTGTTCTCCACCTTCTGAATTCAAAGTGGGACTTGTTTAATTTCAGCATCTTTGGCACAATTGTCATAGATCCTACAGCTGCCTTTCCACGTGCCTGCTAGCTTGTTCCTCCCTTTATCACTACTCTTCCTTGTGCTTTTCATCAGCACAGGCACCATTGCTGATGTATCAGATGTCTGAAGGGAAGCAAGAATAGCCTTGAGTTACAGTGGAAACATGAGGTGCAGAAACAACTCCAAATAGGGTTAACCTGTTATAAGTTACTAAATGCTGTGTTTTTTTCTTGCATCAAGTTAATGTTCTCTGAACTAAGATCTTCTTTATGAGTCACTGTTAAAGTTATTACTGCTGTATGCCAGCTGAGCAGTGCGCTCTATATACAGAAATAGAATATCTACTGTAAACTCAGGGTGTATTAGGGCTGTGTTTTAAGAAGTCTACACACTATTAAAAAGTAATATTCCATAGTCACAAGATAAATATCAAGATATTTTTACAAGGGCACACTTTGAACCTCACTGAGCAGAAGCTGTTTTGTTCCTAATTACTGCCTGCTAGCATGGTAGGTATATGGTTTCCTCACAGTATGTAAGAGTACTGATCTGGGGAGGACCAGAGCTCACCTTCTGAATGTACTCAGAACAAGTTTCCTACTACTTGGTAACTTCTCACAGATGATGTCTTCTGGTGATTACATGACAGACACCTGTAGCTTGATTTTCTTCTTCTTTCTACTAAACATATCACACTTACTCCTTTGAATTTGTCATCCTAGAGTAAATATCTCTGTTCTGCTTTAAAAGAGCTTAATGATTTTTTTCCGAAATGTATCAGCAAGAATGGAAACAAGGAAGGTACATGTTGGAGTAGAATGGGCAGGCGGATGCCATTTTGCATTTTATTGAGTGCTTCGTGATTATAAAAATACTAAAATAGTAGTTTTCAAATATATTTTTTGAGCAAGTATAACTAAAACCTTATACAGCAGACTTAAACTTTTTGCAGCATGCCAAAGTGAGAGATTTAGCTTACAGTCGTGCTTTTCTAAGGAGCAGGCAAGAAGAATTTCACTTAGGGAGCCAGCAGTTAAAGTTGCATTCAATTATACTCAATGAAGCACTGTATAAAATGTCGTGGTTCCTCTCCTTTAAGTTTATTGCTTGTGACCAGGCTTAATGGGCAAGCAAGATAACACACAAAGAAAGAGACGTGAAAGTTGGTAATATTTTTCTCTGAGTCATAAATGTGCATGCACAAAGACATCCACTGACATTTTTCAAGACTTTCATGTAAACGATTATGTTATGAAAGCTGACACGAGGATGTATGTAGTTCAGAGTCTTTCAAGATTAATTAGTGGAAGTTAGAGGACAAAAGTGTGAATATTAGCAAAGAAGCAGGGCCAACGTGATAAACAGAAAAGCTTAATCTTTACCACTTAGAAAAACTGTGTGGGAGATGGTAGCGAGCACTGTAAAACAGTTTTTATCCTCTCTTCTATACTGTATGTATCGAAAAGCTCTGTGTCTAATAATCGAATACATGGTTCCCATTACTAGTGACTTAATGAAATACTATCTTTCAGTAAAACATGGCTTGTGTTCCTAATGGTGCTTTTATTGTCAAGCTTGAGTTTGTTTTATACTGTTAATTGTAAAGGTATCCTTTTAAATCTAAATCCTGCTCTATTTGGGTAGTGTAATTGTAGATATGGAAATGAACTCCTTTTGATTTGTATTTTACACTTAGGATAATGCGTCGTGGAATTTTTGTAGCATGTGTTCATTTTGAAAGGTTTTATTTTCTTGCATGGGGAACTAGTTGGATTTATAGATCTATTAAGCAAGGTGAGCTAGGTATATACTATTCATGGTGATTTTTATATTCCTCAACTTGAAGTGACCTAGTGATTTTGAAAGTAGCATAAAACTTGAAGCTGACATCTTAATATTTGATCTGCTGTGATCATGACCTGTTAACCTTTAGCTTTAATGGTGCTGTATAATTCTCCTTAAAAGTTGCAAATGTACTCTACTGTGGGGCTGATTGATGATAAAATACACTTTCTGTAATCACCCCTCTAGAATGTGTGTTGTTTCTAGTAGATATTGATCTCCTGTATTTGTTATCTTACATTTGAGAGAGACTTTGGTTTCTGATGTAATGTGGATTTTGTGCAGATAATATGCTCAGCATCTTGATTAGGAGCTACAGAGCATACAGTTCTTGAAAAGGCAAAAGCTCGTTTCATGGTGTAGTTCCCATAAACATAAAATCTAGATTGTGCTGAGATTACTGTATTGACCACGATGACCTCATAACCTCTAGTGGTAAGGAAGAGTCAAAAGACAGTCCTAAGAAATGCAGTGTACAAATACTAAAACTGTTTATGAGATTTGCTTCACTTAAGCAAAGTTTCCTAGAATATACACATAAATTTATATTCTTTAATGCAGACCGTCAAACAGTTTCAATACTCCAGGGACTAAAGTTTTGGTTCTCTGATCTCATGCAGCAGTTAAGACAGAAGTAAGCTGTGCTACTTTCCTATAAGCTATTTGCTGCATCTAGGTATTTAAAATTGTGAAAAATGCTTTATTTATTAAATAGGAGAAATAAACATTAGGAATATAATATTTGCAAGGGCTGGCGTGACCTATGATGCTGTAACTGACTCAAGCCTTTGGTGCATGTGTGAAGCTTGTTGAAAGGAAAGGAATCACTTACATTCTCTGAGCGTTGTTCTGGTGTGATGGTAAGTGAGCCTGCAAATGTCTCCTGTATGTGAAGAGATTTGTGCTCTTTCAATCACAAAATAACAATCACAAGAGAACACCTTTCTTCAAAGATTATTTCTATTTGGAAATGAGCTAACCAAATGCGAATGGCTGAATACAAAGGGATAACGTGGGATCTGGTGTTATGCTGTATGCTTCTTAAAATATGCTTCACTAAATGAGACGAATGTTGCAGCACTGGGAGAGTCATAAAGCATCTTTTAAAAACCTAAAATGCTTTAGAAAATGTAATTCATTAGCTGAATTTTGACATCAGTTTTTAAAAGGCTGATTGACTGGAGTTGCAGAGGGTTCCTAAGTACATCCTGTGGAGAAGGGTTCCTGGGAGAAGTCAGCAAGAGAGGCTTTTTAAACCTTTACCTTCTCAGAAAAGGAGTCTGTGGCTTTTTAAAGTTTACTTAAGCATCTGAATAATTTCATCTCACATGCTCTTTTTTTTTCCTTTTTTTCTTTCCCATCAGATTTCCTTTATATCCAAAAGGAGGGGAGAAGCTTCAGTTTGAATATGGAGTATATCTTCTCAACAAAAATATAGCACAGGTTAGTACACTGAGATTTTACTATCTGCTTGGTGTCAGTATGCCATGAGTGTACATCTACTGTCTTGTGATGCTATTCTCTATGGCGAACATCTGAATTAGTGGGGGTTTTCTTCAAGTCATTGTTTTCACTTAACTTACAGCTTTGTGCTTGAGATTTTCTTGCATTGTGCTTAGAGAAAGGCTTGCCAGCTAGTAATGAATCTTTTTGTTTTCAAATAGTCTATACACACTGTTTTGAAAATTGCAAATGTTTTCTGTTATTTTTATCCTGTCATACTTGAAGATCCATTCATGTCATTCTCATTGCTGTGTCTTTAATTTTGCTGTATTATTACTTTAACTAGTATTCTACCTCTATACTTACGATAAGAAAACACAACAAGCTGGAAAATCTGAAGTCTTGCAAATGTATGACTTTATATTAAAAAGTTCTCTAATCATCCTTACTTCCTTGCTCTTAATGTATTTTAAAAATCATCCTTTACTTTGGCAAATGCGTGAAAGTTTACAAGTTCACAAGCTTGTATTTGAGATGGTACTAATACCTGCTGCTAACACATTTGGTATGGAATTCAGAAAATGTTCAAAAAGCTGGTCTGAAAGGGACCTGAGGAGGCCATTTAGATGATTGCCTAGTCCTAGGGCAGGGTCAGCTGCTCATACGCTATCCCTGGTAGATGTGTGTATAATTTTCCCTGAAGGAGAGCCTGTGATCTAAGTACTACTTAGTTCCAATGCTAGACTGTCTTGGCTGTTAAAGTCTTTTCTGACATCTAATCCAAATCTGTCTTGCTTCTCTTTAATCACGTAATCACTTATTATAATAATATGTTTATTTAAGTCTCTTCCTCTTTGCAAACTTTTATGCATTGAAAGATAACCTTTCATTTTTAAAGTGTTATCTCATGGGTCACGTCTCTTAACTTCTGAGCATTCTTGTTGTCTCCTATTCTCCATCTGAATCCACATCTTTCTTGTAGTGCCCAAAGCTGGATACAGTATGCAACTGTTGCCTTCAAAACATTGAGTAGAATGGGAGAAATGCTCCACAGGTCTTGTAATTTTTTTCCAGTTCATTATGTTCCGATAGGTTTGTACTCTTAACAGTCTAACATGGTGAATTTTGTGATTCAGTGCAACTAGCCATCCCAAGTCTTCTGCACAGCAACAAAATAGTCCATTCTGGATTTGTGCAGGTGACTTGTTTAATTCATGTTTTACATGCTGTACCTTGAATGTATCCTTAAAGATGCACTTTTTTGTTTTTAATCATGTTTCTGATTTGGTGACGTAACTGTAGAAGATGGGGAAAGGTGGGTTGAGAACTCTGTCTTAGCCTTGTGCTATCTGCATCTGAGCCTATTCTCTCTCCAGCTCACCTAATTAAAATATTGACTAGAGCTGGGGTAAAGCCTAGACTCAGGTGGATCCCTGCTTTGCTAGCACTTCCATTTATAGCAGTGAAACATTATTTTAACTACACCCGAAGAGTGAGTACTTGCTCTGTATTCATTCATACTTTATCAATGTCCCATTTCCCTGGTATGCTTGCGAGCATATTACACCATAAAGTGCCCAGAGTTATTTAAATTCCAACAGAAATGACATTTTAGTTTCTAACCTGTTTGTGAGGCTTGAAATTAGATTGGTCTGACAGTTTTATTCTTGAAAAATCTGATCTTTTTTATGCTTAGTTTCTAGGTTTTTTGGTTTATTTTTCCAGTTCTCTCTTCCACCACTCATTCCCCATTCCCTACCCCAAATTGAAGTAAAGCTTCTGAGTCTTTTTGTGTTGTTTGTTTTTTAAGCTTGGATTGCATTTACCATTTTCCAGACTTCTGGTATCTTGCCCATGCTTAGTGTATTTTGGAAGATAACCTCCAATGGCTCTGAAATTACTTAAAGGCTAAAATATCTTAAGATGAAGTTAATCAAGTCCTGCTAATCTTGGAAATTCACTTAACCAAGCTGTTAATGTAACTTAGACTGTGGCTCTTTGTTGCTGGTATTAATAATGGCAGCCAGCTGTTCACACTTGACTTTCATAGGGAAGACCAGTGAGAGAAAGGGATTAAATACTCTTTTCCTTCAAATGCTTTGATAGCTTTCTCTCTCCTTTACTATCAAATCAATGCTTTCCTTAATCTCTACTTAATGTAAATACATTAGTTCATTCTGTAACTTGTGAGTTGTGATGCTGCTTGCTTTGCTTTTCAGCCTTTCATGGTTTTGTTCCTATGCTGGAGTTCGGTGTTCAGTTATGTGATGCAAGCACTCTGTGCTTCTTTCTTGACTGAGATTATGAAGTCTTCATTGAGCCCAAGTTGGTAGTCTTCCCAGTTCTTGTAGTCTGGGTTAGTTGGCACTTGTGCCTGTATGTAGTATCGTTTTTATAGGAACCGTCACCACTTCGCTTGTTTTCCTGTTTTTTTAAGACTTGTCATCTTTGAGTTGTTAGCCACTGTTGGACCTACTGAAATCTCTCATTCTGATTTTGTTCTTGTCCTATTTCTAAAGGACTGTGAACAGTTGAACACATGGTCACTCACCCATGTTGCCTTCCAAGTCCTTGCAGTTGGTTTCTGAAATCACTGGCATGTGTTTAAACTCATAAAAGTAAATGAAGACTTTTAAGTACGTATTTGTATAAAAAAAGTTTCCAAATTTACATGGGGTCACTGGTGCTGGTACAAGCTAGAGAAGTCAGTGGCCGAACTTTGAAGTGGTTTGTACAACACCAGTGGTTCACATGTTAATGCTTGAGATTGTATGCTGTTGAATATAAAAACATAATAAAAGTAAATCGGAATTTTTGGGAGGCTTCTACTACTTATTTAATCAGGAAAGTGTTACTGAAGTCCATATAAACTGGTGTAGTCATCTTTGTTTTGATATCCTTGGTCAAATATTGCAGCTTTTTATAGTTCTACCAAGGGGAAATTCCATTGTGAAAGCAGAACAGGTAGATAACTTGCAGAAATACATCACAAAACTCCTGTACTCAGGGGCTGACTTGATCTAAAAACCTGAAATTGTTTGAATCCTTTATGTGTTCCTTTGGAGGCTGGAACTGTTGAATTTAAGTAGCTCTTAGAAGATCTTAAGACTGCTTTGAGAGAAGCTTTCAGGTGTGTTTAGTTCATGTGAATGTGTGAAAATAATTAAGTTTGGATGGAGAATGAGCAGCTGCCTCTTTTTTTACCTCTAGACCATCACAACCTGGGAGGGAATCCTTTTAAGGCCCAAAGGTGTTGGCCTTAATTCAGAGAACCAGTCCTGCAAACTATTCTGTCATGAATAAGTGCAGATCAGTTGCTTAATTCCCTCTGGGTTGCTGTGGGAAGATTGGAGGTGCCTAGGAGGAACAGTGCTGACTCTACTGGAGTGTTAAGAGAAGAACTTGGGTCTCCATCACCTTACTTGAATCATTCATGCAAGTCTTGATCACTGTGGGTGAGAAACAAAGAACCCAGAAAAACTTGTATGAACTTAGAAGAAATACTTGAAAGGATTTGTATAAGCTTCCTTGGTTTCACAGATTTTTATATTTTTGTTCCTTTCACAATTACCTGGAGTTCTGGCGACAAGGAGAAACATGAGTGGGGAAGAAGTGAGACTGGGTTGATATTAAGTAAAATTGCTGAAATAAAAACTCTTCTAGAGATAAAGTGGTACTGTTTTGTAAAACAGCAGGATAATAACAATGAAAACCACATCTTGCACTCAGGAGAATTCAGCTGGAATTAGAAGCAGCTCAGTGCTAGCTTGGTAGAGCATTTATTTGGAGAAACTTGCTTTGCTGTTACATTCCGAAGTCAAAACAATGTGTGTTAATTCCGAGAGTTCATAATAACTTCCATCTGTATGTGAGCACAAATTGTTTCAATCCCCGTATTTTCTATTTGTAAAATTGAATTGAATCCCTCACGAAGTTTGCAGAGTAGCTTTTTAAGTTGGATTATATTAGGTAAAACCATAAATTTCCAGTTAAAATTTCAGTTCTTTGACTCTAACAAACATACAAGCGTGTTATTTTTTTCAAAGGGAAATTAGTGACTTATGTCTAATAATATCAACAACAACAACAAAAAAAATCACTGTCATTCCAGAGCATTTTCAAAGGTGAAGCACAATACAGTTACTAAAAATGGGAGGGAATTGCTTGGCTCTCAAAAGCATTAGGCACTGGGAGATCATTCAGTAGGTAGCTGGTGTCTCAAACTCTGCAGCTGCCAAGTTATGGATGTGTGTGGAGTATCTGAGGAAGAGGAGGCTTTAGCAGGAGAATGAAATGAACTCCTGCATTCATTTTCACAGCAGAGGAGTTGAGATTACACCGTGAAAACCGCCTGCTATAGTGGATGAATATTAGGAACTCCTTGAAGCATTGTGAGTTGGGTGTTTTTTGTGGGTGATAAGCTAACACAGCATGGGCAAGCTAGCATCTCTCAGAGTTCTCATTGCTCTGAACATGTAATGCATGTGGCACACAGCTCAGCTAAGGCATAGGCATGGACCTTGCTAAGCTGAGCTCTCACAAGTCCTTGAGTAGTGGTCTTGGCTCTCCAGGTTTTTTCCTCTCAGTTCTTTAAATTTTTTTTTAACCTTGGAGTTTGTGGGGGTGAGAGTACAGTGGCTTTAAGTTTCAAATCTCAGGCCTGTAGAAAGAAAGAAGCTTTACTGCTGTTTTGCTGTCTCTTTCCTTCATTCCCAGAGCCTTGATTGCTTGGGCCTGACTTCAGTGTAGGCTCTTCATTACATATGAAGAGATGATCTTGTTTTAGTGACTGTCCTTGAGGTGAGTCCTTGGTGAGCATGTACAGTGTCACTACTAGAGAATACCTGGCCTGAAGTTGTATACAAGATGATATTACATGGTTTCTTTCCTGTATTGGTCATTATTTCTAACCCATAGCCATTGAAGAGAGCATGAGCATCTTGTTCATGAAACTTCTAATTCCTTTAGGTACTCACAAGGTAGTCTCTTGCACGATACTT